ATCTCAAACCAGCTCCCATTTGAGATCACCTGATTAACCATCAAACAATTTAGATACTGAATTACCAAGACCAATACATAAAGGCATGATGACTAAGAAATTATTAATTGGGAAATTACCAAGAGACCATCAATACGCTACACAGAAAACGTGCGTACGATACATGTGAAATCGTAAGGATGACAATAATGCTGTAATTAACTCAAAAATTGTCTCTGAATTCCATCTCTAGCGCATAAAATGGAAACATCTTCTTGTTGAACCCTATGAAACATTGGCGCAGAATGGCATTACTTGTAAGCCTGGCTATTATGTGACATTTCTTAAGCTACATATCATCACCACCCCGACAAAAAAAATCTTCAGACAAAATCCTTAATTTGAACGATGATTCAACACGTTACTTTTCTATTTAAGTTTCTTTAATGAGTATAGTGACTATGGCATGGGGAACTTACATATCTGGAAAGGCATTATCAATGCTGAAAAGTATGACATATGCTCACATCCAGGCAACGTCTCTTTCAGGGAAGGCTTTGCATATATCAGCAAAACAATGCCGAACCACATACTGCATCCATCATAATAGCATGGCTTCACAATAGAACAGAAGACTGAGTGCTGAACTGGCCTACCTGCAGTCCAGACTGTTCACGAATAGAAAACATTTGGCGCATCTTAAAATCAAAAAATTCGGAGAAGAAAACCCAGGACTGTTGAGCAGCTAGAATCCTACATCTGACAAGAGTGGGACAACATTCCTCTCCCAAAACTTTAGCAATTCCCAGACATTGACAGACTGTTGTTAAAAGAAGAGGGGATACTAAACAATGGTAAACATGGCCCTATCCCTACTTTTTTGAGATGTGTTGCTGCCATCAAACTCAAAATGAGCTAATATTTTTCATGAAATGGTAAAATGTCTCACTTTCAACATCTGATATGGGTCATTCCATATTAAGTAAACCAGAGGTCCCCGGGTCCCACCAACTCAGATTTGGCTCAGATTTATTTTGGGAGTACCTCTATATTCATAATGAACACATGCAAAATTTTAGGCTCCCACTCCAAGGGGTTTCCGAGATATTGTCCCCCAAAAATCAGGGGCCATGCCCCAAGCTAATCGCGAACGTTAATTTATAGGGATTTTGGAGGCCAATATCTTTGGAACCAATCATAGGTATGGGCTGAAAATTGCTATCCAGAATCCAGGGTATTTTGGGTGCAGGCTTTCAGAATCTCTTGTCAAAATTTATCCATCTCTTTTCATTTTCGAGATATTGGTCTCTCAAATATGAAAATTTTTATGGGTGGAAATCGAAAGTTCAGTTTTCAAGGGCCCCCCATGAGGCCAGGATCCCTTATAGAGGCTAAATTGTGCTGGATTCCTTCTATTTGAGGACAGGTCTGTCTGGACAAGGAAGATGGACTGCATCCAAGGCATAATAGTGGAGTTAGGAGACCCTGAAATGGGTCCTAGCTGAAAAAATCACTTTATTGCCAATTTTGGATTGGTAAATTCACTATGTGAGCAGTTAACCACGGTAATGAAACTTGCTCTACATGAATTTATATATCTTGGCTTTATTTGATCAAAATTACAACTTGTTTTCTCATCTCCTTCATTATTTACTCATGCTATGAAATCTAGGGTTTTTTTTTTTTGCAACCCCCCCCCATTATGGATTTTGTTTTGATAAAATGCCATAAGGTGAAGCTAATATAAGTTGTATGCTATTGTTTTAGAACCATCTTAAGATTCACCTTATTGGTTAAGTGAGATGCTTAGTTTATGGCCATCTGCCCACAACTGACCATAAATGATCACAAATACGAGAAAGCTAGACTCCAAGAATTTTCAACCAAGATTACCCATCACAACAAAAGAGCTTATTATACAAATGATGGTAACCTTCTTTTGAATTAGGGCAGTTTCTGTCCTGGTTTCAATTTGAACTTCGTAGCCATTTCTTCTTCAACAGTTTTCAGGGATTCTGAAAATAAAGTGTATCACTGTGAGAGACATGAACTTCCTTACAGGAAATTAATAACATCCATTCTCTGTCATGCAAAAAGGAATGCAGGATGACGCCACCATGAACTTACTTGTGGTGTGCCATTTACGATGGTTAAATGGATCGGCACAGGACCACTGCAGACTTTGAAAGCGTGACAAATACATTTTTTCGTGGTGGAAACAGATTCGGTCATCTTCATTGAATATGATATTGCACCGCCAAGTCAAAAGTTGTCTGTCAGCTGGTTTAAGGTCACCGAATGAAATTCATCCCGTCTTTCTGCAGTATGTATGTTTGTCGCATTCCTCATCCAAGGAAAACCCAATTTTGCACCTGTCAGAAACCGCGCCGAAGCTTCAATGAATTCATTAATTAGCTACCCTATCGTTTTAACCAGAGGTGATACAATACCCATGGAAGATGATGCAATACACAGGCGATCTGATGCAATACGCATCGAAGATGATGCAATACCTGGGGGATCCTAGGGAGGGAATGCAACATTATGTCAGATGATCTTAGGAAATGATGTAACTTTTTTATGAGTAGGTGCTGTCTATTTAAAACTTCTAGTTGCAGAACAAAGGGGATAATAATGGGCGTTTTTACCCCAAAACACCTATATTTGACAACATGATTAAATAGTGAGGGAGATGAGAAAACGTTGTAATTTTGAACAAATAAAGTCAAGATATCTACATTTATGTGGAACAAGTGTCATTACCATGGGTAACTGCCCACATGGTGAACTTGCCAATCCAAAATTGGCAAAAATGTGACTTTTTCAGCTAGGACCCTTTTCAGGGTCTCCAAACTATACTAATTTGCCTTGGGCGCAGTCAATCTTCCTTGTACAGACAGACCTGTCCTCAAATAGAAGGAATACAGCACAATTTAGCCTCTGCAAGGGATTCTGGCCTCATAGGGGGCCCTTGAAAACTGAACTTTTGATTTCCACCAATAAAAATTTTCATATTTGAGAAGCCAATATCTTGAAAATGGAAAGAGATGGATAAATTCTGACAAGGATTCTGAAAGCCTGCACCCAAATTACCATGGATAGCAATTTTCAGCCCATAATTATGATTTGTTCCATAGATATTGGCCTCCAAAATCCCTATAAATTAACATTCGCAATTCGCATATCTCGGAAACCCCTTAGAGTAGCAGCCTAAAATTTTGCGTGTGTTCATTATGCATATAGAGGTACTCACAAAATAAATTTGAGCCAAACCTGAGTGGGTCACTGTGGAAGATTCTTGTACTTTGGTTGAGTTCATATGGAATGACCCATATGTTGTTTATGTTCTATTGCAAATTAAATCTCAGTTTGAGATTTGCAAATCATTACATTCTGTTTTTATTTACATTTTACACAGCATCCCAACATTTTTGGAATTGAGGCTGTAAATGCATCCATTATCTAACCTGCTTATTCCAGGTCCGGGTAAATGTTCGGGGGGGGGGGGGGGGGGGCAAGCAGAGCCTATTGCTGCATTTACTTGGCAGGAGTATACACTGGACCAAAACAACCAGTAACAAAAATAGTATGGCAGAATAGCGGCACAATTTGTCACAAATGTTCCCCTTTCATTTAGGTTTCTTCCCACAGTGCAAACACATGGATGTCAGGCTGGAGACCCAAAACTGCTCATAGGCGTGAGAGTGTGAGTGAATGGTGTGTAAGCCCACTGATAAACAGGCAAACGGCGAGGTGTGTTCCTGCCTCTCGCTCATATGATGCTGGGATAAGGTCCAACCCTTCTGTGACCCTGACTGTGATTGAGTGGGTTAGATAATGGATGGAAGAAATCAAGATAATCATAATTTTTAAGGATTTAATTCGTCACAGATCCACAGAGGTTATGTCGGCGCATTTAAGTTGGTGATATTGGGTGCCGAACTACCTGCAGAGTAGTGTCGAAGACGACTAGCTTTGAGCTGGTGGGCATTGCATCATAGCAACAGTGATTTTTCATGAACTTCGTGTAGACCCCAGCGTCCAGGTCCAGAGCTGCAGAGAGAGACAAGACACCAGAAACCTGCTGCAGGTCGGTTAGTCTGCATCTTATCAATGAGTATCCAGACCAAAACATCTACTTCGTCTTATCCATCAGTATCCACACCATACATTACTGGGTCTCATCTACCCATATCCACAACATACAGTGCTGATTCTCATCCACCTATATCCACATCATACAGTATTTGGTTTCATCTGACCATATCCACCCCATACATCACTCGGTCTCATCTATCCATATCCACGCAATACATCCATGGTATCCTATCCGTCAGTATCCACATCAAATATCCACAGTATCCCCACCAAACATCTACACCATAAATTTAATCTATCAGTATCCCAAGCAAACATTCACTGTATCTCCATCAGTAACCACACAATACATTTACTGCATCTTATCAGTATCCACACCATCTACTGTATCTTATCCATCAGAATCTACACCATATATGTACTGTATCTTATCGATCAGTGTCCACACCATACAACCACTGCATCTCATCTATCAGTATCAACACTGTTCAGTGGAAAATCCCTCGCTTCAAAGAATCATGCGCCGCAAGGTGTATCTCAGGGAATCAGGGTTTATTTCAGCGGAGAGAGTTCAGCACCTAGGCATCCTAAGATGGATAAGCCAGAACCACAGAAGGCGGAGCAGTCCGAACCTTATAACAATAACAGAACCAACAGTCATGAGAAAAAAAGTACACCCTCTCTCAGTTCTATAGGTTTATGAACCAACACATAAAAAAATCATCTGGTCCTCATCAGGTCCTAAAATTAGGTAAATCTAACCTCAGGTGTAAAACACACAACTGATTCCACCGTGCCATTATTTATTAAACCACAATTCAGCCAAAATGCAAAAGTCATCTGTAAAAAATTAAGTACATCCCATGATTCAATAGCTTGTAGAACAACTTCAGCAGCAATAGCTTGAAGCAATCATTTTCCATATGATGGTGGCGCAGTGGTTAATTGTGCTTGACTTGAGATCGAAAGGTCCTGAGTTCAAGTCCTGCCATTGCTTTTGGGTTGTGTTCTTGAGAAAAACACTTTGGGTGTATAATTGGGCACCAGCAAACTGTCAGGGAAACCTGACTAGGAGCTGGAGGTAACCTGCGATGGCCTAGCATCCCGTCCAAGGGGAGTAGCAATACTCCGAGTCGTTTCATGCCTCAGAAACCGGAGTCAAGCGCTGGCGTGATGAGCCACTTGGGCTCGAGACAGACTTTGCCTTCTTTACAACATTGCTTCAGTTAATCACCAAACACAAACACCACAATATACAGGCTTGTACTACAAGAGAAGTCAAATAAGGATGTTAAACATATGGGCAATACCTGTCTCCCTCATTGTTCTCCTCCTTTCCAGGCTCGGTTGCTGCATGAGGGAAAACAGAACAGTGAGAATTCAGAATAGAAAACCAGACAACCTCTCCCATAGGCATCCCAACTCATCAGGAACTTGTCACCTGCTTCCTGATAAGAGTCCCAAGGTTCCCAAATATCACACAAATCAACACAGACTTGGGTGGAGGCATGAATTTTGAACTATACTGTCACCATTTGACAGTTGATTCGAGAGCAGATTTGTTTAAGAAGTATTTCTGAAGAACATTTTGGTTTCACTATGCAGAAGTTATTCCATTACTGTATGTAGGGACTGTGTAGGAAAAGTATTGGAGCTAACAGGGCACTATAACAGCCCACAGGTTTCTCTGATTATTCAGGTCTGTTAGTATGATTACCAGAGTTATAAGAGATTTCAGTATCTAGTTGTGGTTCTTAGCTTTTCATTACTTTTCAAGACTTATTACATTCACCATGGTGTGCATTCATCAATGCCTCTCAGCACACCACTGGTTTAAATACCAGTCACCATGGCTGCATGTGTCATATATTGAGTTGCAGCCACTGAATTTTATTTGGCGGAGCAGCCTATTAGCTGTAATAAGCAGGTGCGCAGTATAAAGAGATCAGTGTATTTGTAGATACAGAGGACAGTCAAATGTAATTTGAGGGTAATTATGTCTGTATGGGGTGAACTGTGTACCAATTAGAGCCCCATGTTTACACATCTCTCCCATTTTAGAGGGTCAAACGCAAATAGACCAATGGCTAACTCAGCCATTTCTCAGTTTTTCTGCCAGCTATGCCTTCGCATCATTTGCTGACACACCAGGAAGTGTCACAAGAGGTCATCGGTTGATTCTAGGTCTGGCATTTACATTTTGAGCTCACTGCTGCCAACAACATTATCGGTGTCATGTTTCGAAGTTACAATGCACTGGTAGGATCAGTAGTGGCAAACAACTTGGAAGATGACCAAATAATCTTTGAATTGGGATGCAAAACCTCTCTTCAAAAACTAAAAGATGAACTCCTCTCCAGAATGCATAGATGTCACAGCCATAGTGAGACAACTTCTGCCGCATAACCTCAGGAAGTTCAAGGAACACAAACCTGGGGCAAGCCTCAAAAATCGGAGAGCCTAGTTAGCGTTGCTTAAATTACGACAATAGAGCTCCAGAGAGCCTCATATTTATATTCCTAAATACCAGCACCAGAGAAAACGGTGGTGACCTCCTTATCAATTTATATTAACAAGAAAGCACCGCACACAAAAGCCAGCTCTGGCCTACCTGTGACAGATGGTCCATATCTGCAGTCCTGCATTTGAAAGCTGCTGCAGAATTTACAGACGGAATCTTCTCGCCCCGAGCATTCTGACTGACCCAGTCCTGGAGCCACTGGGGCTATATTAGGAGCCAGTGAGCTGGAAGGGGCAGGTGGTGTGCTGGTGATTTTAGGGGAGGCGCGGGGGGGGGGGCAACATGGTCCACAGACCTCAAATTAGCCCCAGCCTGGTCCACAGGATCAACACATAAGTTACCCGTGCATGCATTCATTACAACATTGAAATCAGCCAATCACATGCGCTCAGAACACACTGCATTAAATCGCTGTTAGGAATTATTACAATGACAGATGGTTAGCTTGAAGTTTCGCAGCTAAGCCATCATTTGCTTTTCGTGCAACTCTGCATTTGCAAGCAGTTCCTCTATTTTGAGGTTCCTTTTGAAGTTCCTTCAAAATGTCAAAAAAAAAATTGACCGCAAATTTTGAGACGCACTCATTCCAGATATTCGTTTATAATTCCTCAGGTCTAAATGAGTTCTGAACATGAACTGCTCCCGATCCAAGTAAACCACTCCTGGATGCAAAGTTCTTCTCTTTATTTTTAAGACCGCTTATTTCTGACACTTGGAGCAGGACTGAGGTGTCAGAGCTTGGATGTGCCTCCATGTGTGCAGCTATTCTTAGCTCCCAGGCACTGCCGGCTATGTTGTTTCGGGCAGATAGCCAATCGCAACCCAAAGGCAGAAAAGGAACGGAGGCCAACTCCTCCATCCATCCATCCATTAGCTAACTCACCTATTCTCAGTCCCGGTCGTAGGGGAGCACCATACATCGGGTGAGACGCAAGAACACACTTTGGTCAGCTCACCAATGCATCACTGGGATCATACACATCTCACTCAAACTCATGCTTGCGGGCAATTTACATTCTTCAGTTCAGGTGAGATGCTGGTCTTTGGACTGCAGGAGGAAACGATAGCGCACAGATTCAAACCACACGCATATGGGGAGAAGGTGGGAACTCCCCACAGAAATGCTACGGGCCTGGATTTAAACCTACACCTTATTGAGAGGCAACAATAGGATTATCCTTTACGGAGGCATGTTTTCCCGCAAAATCCACTAGAAATGACAAAATTGTGGATCTATATCTCAGGCCTACCAAAGAAAATGGCCAAGCTGTAACAAGTTTGTCAGATGTCTACCTTTTTCAAAGAACCAGCAACACACAATTGAAAACTCATTTGGTTTGCGTCTGGCTTTGTTACAGGCCGTCCGATTTTTTGAGTTTGATTCTGGCGAAAATGTATCGACTTCAGTGGTGCGAAGTTTAGTGGGAATGTGGCATATTTTCAATTTTGCGTTACTGGTTATTTGAAAAAGGTAGAAATCTGACAAACTTTTGTAACAGCTTGCCCGTTTTCTTTGGTGGGCCTGTATCTGCCCACTTGCTGCACCTGTACGCGGCATCGCTTTGAACAGACTATTTAAGGGGCAAATTTCATTTCGTCAATTCACGTCATTTCGATTCCCCCATTTTTGCATCTGCTAGATTTATAAACAAGAGTCATCAGAAGATGACATATCCCCCCGGCCCCCGATTATTTGCGAAAGTCGTGTCAATCCTACACCTTCAAAGAAATTCAAACAAAAATGTTGAGGTGATTTTCCTCTGGAATGATCTGGAAGTATGTACTGGCAACATCTACCAAAGACTATGAAGCACACGTTGACAAAGGCAATAAAAAAAACAAGGGTCATTAATGAACAGTGTTTTAGTTCTGCCCCGGAAACAAACCCAGCCCTGCGACTGAGTCCAAATCCATGTCGCTTCCATGGAAAGAAAAAAAAAAAAAATTTTCAGAAATGTGAAGATATGAAAAGGTACCACTTCAGTACTTGGGTAATGCACATACAAAGTTTCAGAAAGATATAATGAACGGTTTTTGAGTTCTGCTCCGGAAACGAACCCACCTCTGTATAGAGTCCAAATCCAACTTGTTTCCATGGAAACGAAAAAAAATTTTCAGAAATCTGAAAATATGAAAAGGCACCACTTCAGTATGTGGGTAATACACATGCAAAGTTTCAGAAAGATATAATGAACGGTTTTTGAGTTGTGCTCCGGAAATGAACCTCTCTCTGTACAGAGTCCAAATGAAACTGGTTTCCATGGAAACAAAAAAACATTTACATAAATCTGAAGGCACCACTTCAGTATGTGGGTAGTACAATGCAAAGTGTCAGTGAGATACATTGAACGGTTTTTGAGTTCTGCTCCGGAAACGAACCCATCTCTGTACAGAGTCCAAATCCAACTCGTTTCCATGGAAATGAAAAACATTTTTTTTTCCAGAAATCTGAAAATATCAAAAGGCACCACCTTCAGTATGTAGGTAATACACATGCAAAATTTCAGAAAGATATAATGAACGGTTTTTGAGTTGTGCTCCGGGGACGAACCTATCTCTGTACAGAGTCCAAATGCAACTGGTTTCCATGGAAACGAAATAAAAGATGATTTTCAGAAATCTGAAATATCAAAAGGCACCACTTCAGTATGTGAGTAATACACATGCAAAGTTTCAGAAAGATTTATTGAACGGTTTTTGAGTTCTGCTCCAGAAACGAACTAGGCCTGATGTGCACTAAGCCAGATTCGTTTCCATGCAAACGGCAAAAATAGTAATCCTGAAGTTTCCAAAGTAGCAAAAGGCACATCTAGACTATACATAAAATACATGTACAAAGTTCGGTGCTGATATCTCACATAGTTTTTCAGTTCTGCTCAGGAAACGAACACAGTGGAATTTGCACCAAGTCCAGATTTGTTTCCATGGAAACGACAAAAATAGAAATCCCGAAATTTCCAAAGTAGCAAAAGGCACATCTAGACTATACATAGAATACATGTACCAAGTTTGGTGCTGATATCTTGCATAGTTTCCGAGTTCTGCTCCGGAAACAAAATGATTACGGACAGACGGACGGACGGACGAGGCGATGCTTATATCCCCCCGCATTCTAAATGTGCGATGTGTTTTTAACTGACAAGTTTTAACAACAAAGAACAAGTTTTATACAGTATCATGACCACATGAAATGTAGGCAAAAATGAAACCATCATGAGCAGATTCATACGAAATCTTTTATTGTGAAAATCTGACCCTGAGTGGAACCATCCCTTAAACAGGAACAGCATTGTTCAATTGATAAAACATTTTTTAAAAACCATCACCAGTTTGTTTTAATTGAAAATACACTTGCGTCTACCATATCTGAAATTGCCAGACAATGGATTGACTAGTTACCACCCTCCCCATAGAGTATCAGAGGTAAATGTAAACATGCTTTAAAGAGATTACTTAAAAAGTAAACCAGGGCTGA